AAAAAAAAAAAAAAAAAAAAAAAAAAAAACTCTGCTAGACAAGTAGTAAAGATACCCAGAAATTAAAATGATCATATGCAGTTGAAACTAAAGAAAGCAATAAACTTGCAAACAAAAGGAAAAAACCAAAACTCACCGATACGGTGGTGGGGCTTAAGGCCGGCCATGGCCATCCGGGCGGAGAAAGCGTGATGGTAGTTGGTCATGTCGACGGCCTCGGGCGCAGAAGAAACGGACTGATAGAAGCAACGAAGCGGAGGAACAGAGTAACGGAGACGACGAAGAAGATGATTGTAATGGCGGAAATGGCGAAGAGAAAGGAAGGTTGATGGATTGGGAAGTGTTGTCATGGTTTCCATTCGCAGCGAAAGGATTAGGCCTCGCGCCATTATTATCACTTTCTCTACTGCAGCAGTCTGCAGAGAAAAGGGCAGTGGCTTTTGTTCCGCTTTTTATGCCTCTCTCCGACATCGTTTTTGGATTTTTGCTGTCGTTGTAGAGTTTGGATAAGACAAAGAAGCATGGAAAGACAGAGATAGCGCGGGGTCATGATTAAACGACGTGTCGTTTTTTTACCTAGACGGGTTGGATGTAATAGAACTGACAACATGCCATTTTGATAGTTTGGTAGCATGGCATGGTGCTTTAACATTAGTTGTATTTCTTTTTTTATTTTTTATTTTATTTTTATTTTTAACTTCACTGAACGTTATTGAATTTAGAAGATATAACTTAATTTTTGATCATAAGTGTTTGGCGTGAAAATCTGCTCAAGATCACGGTCATCGTTGTTGCTCACTTTGGTTTTTAATATCCATTCTTGTGTGGAACTCCAAATGGGGGAAATAAAGGATTTTGTTGGGAAAACTTTCCAATGCTAAGTTAGAAATTTGGTTAATCATCTAGTCAACATAATCAGCTAATCATCCATAATTATAGAAATTTGGCTTCATATTGTAATTATATAGATTTAGCTTTATCATCGAGGCACAAAATATGCTGATTTAATGCCTCTTTAAAAGACTGATAATTTCTAATTTTTGTCTCTAAGAAATTCGATGTATGATGTAAAACTTATTTTTTTAGTTTCAGTTTTTCCTTCAAAACTCTCCATTCTAAAGCTCAAAATTGAAAGCTTGGCAACCTCGACAAGCTTGACCATGTAAGCCGCTCCCTTATTTGATTCCTCTAGCTCTCTAACTCTTTGAATGTGGCTGAGGTTTTTGGGACTTCGCTCTCTCTCTCTCTCTCTCTCCATTTAGGGATGGACTCTCTCTCTCTCTCTTCATTTAGGGATGGACTCGGAAGGTGTTTTTTTTTTTTTTTTTTCGGTAGGAGAATAGGGATGGGAACTGAGAAGGTAATTAGAGAATTGCAAGTTTAACATGAACGATGATCATATGTCATATGTCATTAACTTTGAGTGGGAAAAACAAGAATGTGGCCTTTTTTTATTTTTTATTTTTTTGAGAAATGTAGATAATTTCAATAGGAAAAACTATAATGGGATAGGCTATTTTTACCTCTTCGATTGGGTACAATCTAAAAGTTAGTATTAAATCTTGGTGAGGATGTGTAAGTTCTCTTTATTCTATTTTATTTTTTTTTAAAAAGAGAAAAACATTCTTCTGAAAAAAAAAAAAAAACAAAAATCACATCTACCAGATTTTTTTTGAAAAAAAGGCTAAGGTCCCGTTCACTTCGCTGATTCGAGTTTGTAATTTGAGTTGAGATGTGATTTTATGTGAGAATTTTTTACTGTAGTAAGAAAGTTAGATGTGACTGTTTCTGAAAACTTTTTACTGTAACAAAACTCAAATTCTAAACTCGAATCAATAAAGTGAACGAGACCTTAATTTATTAATGATCAGAGCCGATAGATCCGCTTGTATAAAAAGACTTAATAAACTTTGGACAATAATCTAACGAGCATCTATCAGACATATGAGAAGAAAAACCATAGGCCGCTAACATGTAGACTACGAAGTTCTCTGAACGGAAAATGTAACAAATAGAATTATAAGACATTAACGAAATACTATGCTAGATATCGCCAATGATAGTAGAATCTTGCGATTGAAAATTCGAACTCCAGGTGGCACAAATAACATTTGACGCGTCTGACTCAACTACTTAATTATGAAATTCACGACTCTGGGCCAATAAAATTCCCTCCCTAACTGCAAAGCACTCTCCTAAGTGTGGAGAAACAGAACCCCCGAAGTCTAAGAGCTGCAGCTAAAAAGGACAGAGCTTTCGGGCTTGTTCTTTTGAAAAACTCAAAAAAATTAACTCGAGTTACAATTTTATTCGAGTTTATATTCTTTTAAGTTTAAATTCGAGTTCAAACTCGAGTTTAAGACTTTCAAGTTTCCCCTTCAACTCGAGTTCAGAAACTCGAACTCAAATTAATGAACAGTATTTTTTCTATTCTTAAAAATGCTATAACTTTTTCATTTTAATTCTGATTGAGATAATTTGTTTTCTATACGTTGACAACGAAAAGACGAATAAAACCCGACCCATATACCCTATTAAAATTTTTCATCAGCATTGAGTTTTTATTAAAATACTATCTAAATACAAATTCAAGTTTTGACTCACTCAAACACAAACTCAAAAAGATTCTTATCTCAAATAATATCTCAAATGTATACAACCAAACACAAACTCAAATTACAAGTTCAACTTAAGTTATAACTCAAATTCAATTAAAAAATTATACTTAAGTTAAACTCTAAAAAAACAAGTCCTTCTTCATCGGAAACATAATTCCAACTCCAAAATGATTAGAGCCTTCTTTCACCGCTGCATCCACATTTATTTTAATAACTCCCATGACTCGGCCGACTAGGAGAAACTCGAAACTTGTCCATTGAAAGGTCAAGAAGATTTCAGTATTGAAATGAGGAAAAAAAAAAAAGAATATATATATATATATATATATATATATATATATGCTTGCACTTACCTCTGGTTTCAGCCTTTGAGATGTTTTCAGCTTTTAGATTAGATTTTGCCACTTGTTTTATTTAAAATAAAACTGGATATATCTTACATTATTTCTACGTCATTTTTATTTATCAGTCATGTGGTCAAGTATTCTGACCACGTTAATTTTCTCATTCTATCTCGTTCATTTCACCGATTTAAATTTTTAATTTTAGATTTTTACAGTTAAAAGTTCTCAGAAAATGTCACATTTAACTTTTTTTGCTACAGTTAAAAACTCTCAGAAAATGTCACATCTCAGCTCAAATTGAAAACTTGAATGCATTTGAACGATTCGTTAATTTATATTGTTATTGAGCCCGTTTAGTTTGTTGATTTGAGTTTTTAATTTGAGTTGAGATATGATTTTATGTGAGAGTTTTTTACTGTAATAAAAAAGTTAAATGTGACTATTTTTTAAAACTTTTTACTATAATAAAATTCAAATCGATAAAATGAATGAGCCATTATTTCCTTACTTTATCCTTAGTTTAGTTCGAGTATTAGAACATCATCGTATTCTTTAAACAAAAACACTCCCAGAATGAGCTTATTGTGCTTTGTAACCTATTTAATTTATGATAATACGACAGTGCCGAATCTGTAGTATTTGTAGCATAAACAAGCGGAAGAAG